AAAAAACCCAAATTGTTGATCCTGGTGGGTTCAAGAGACCCTGAGGACAAGGGTGGTAACTCCACCCATTATTAAGATGGCTTGGCACATCTCATCAGGATTTTCCACATTCTTTTGACTCTGCCAAACTTGAGCTGCCCTTGTTAAAAATTTTCCATGCTGGACATCTGCTGTAGGATTTATAGACCTTTCTGCCAAAACACAGTTTGCCTATTTCTGAGATAACCTAGACAAAAACATATTGCTCAGCCATCCTTGTAACTCACTGGGGAACTCTGCCTCCTCTGCCCATGGTTTGGGCAGCCTTGAAATTTGGCAAAGTGCTGATCCCTTGTTTTTTTAATGTTGTTTTTAAGGGTGGTTTTTTAATATATCAAGGTTTTTTATATGTTTTGCTATGCACATTAAAATATTTTCCTATTTGACAAAGCTTTAAAGCCTGCTAATATTCAGCTGACTCACAGCATCTTTTTAATTTTTGTTTCTGATGCCTACAGTGCATATCTCAGAAAGTGTTCAGCAGTAAGCGTCTGATTCCTTCAGCCATCCATCCATACGTGGCTGGAAAGGCACCAGCCCCACAGTGCGACTGAGCATGTAATGGGCTCAAGTTACAGGAGATTAGCAGGATTTCCCCTGTAACTGCTGCTCCCATCTGCCAGAGACCAGACATTGGAGCTGACAGCAGGAAGACAACCTTGCAAGCTGCTCTCATGACCCAGGGACCTGCATGAGACAAGCCCTTCAGAGCGCACTACAGAGGGGACTGCCAGAAAGGTCAGGTGGGCCAAAACACACCGAGAGGCTGGGCAGAAGAGGGAGACAGTGAGGAGAGGGAAAGGGAGGAATAGATGCAAGAGCCAGAGTCTGGCTGGTCTAGTCCAGCAGGTTACAGACAGAGGAACATGGTGCCCCTGCCAGACAAGGGCAGTAATCAGCACAGGCAGCAGCAGTCAGCAGGAGCCGGCCGCCCTCTCCACACACCCATGCGCGCTCATACCACAGCACCCACCCAAAGGTTCTGCGGCCCATTAGCTCGCTCCAGCTTGCAAGTTCCCTCAACCCTTCCCCGCCACAAACCCAAGGCAAGTCACTAACAGAAGCCCTGAAAAGGCGCGGGCTCAGCACTGCCTGCACGACCCAATTCCAAGTGCCACTGCTTCACAGTGCACAAGCTGGTCTTCAGCCACCGCACAGCTTTAACTGCAGGCAAACAGGGCTGGGGTGCTTCCAGACAGCACTCCTAGGACTACTGAACCACAAACACAAAACTAGCAGCCAAACACTCACCCAGATCCTCCCTCGTGTGGGTTATTATATTATAGATTCTCCCATGACAAAGGATCAGAAGACCCTCAACTCAAATAAGGTGTGCTGAAAATACATCACATCCCATTTGTGAATACTTTAGCTAAGACCCACCAAAAAACTCAAGAGAAAATACATGCTCTTTTTCAAAAATAGCACCTGAGTAGTACCATTGTAAGGCATGACTTCATGGACTGCAAAAAAAAAAAAAAAAAATTAAATAATTGTTCTGTACATTGAGGAGTGAATAGTTCTCAAATGGAGATGTGCCCATGTACCCATTCATTTTTCACATCAGTTACAAGAAAAAGGCCAGAATTTCAATTTTCAGTCTGATTTATACAACCATATTATATATTTAATTGCAAAAACAGTATCATCTTAGAGAAACTGAGAAATTCACATGTCAAACTCAACAAAGAACAACAAAGGTAAATTTCCAACTCAAAAAATGCCATCTGCTCTGCCTGATATGCTTCTGTAATTAATGAATCAAGGGAAAAAAATGCTTCTATCAGTGACTATTACACACAATTTTCTGAATGGTCTTGATACAACTTTTGGAGAAAAGTGAACTATTTTGGAAGAAATAAAGAGGAGGAGAAATGAAAAATGCAGAAACCCACACAGTTATTTTTTCTTCCTTACTCTTGAATCACAGCAATTAGGTCTAATTCCAGAAACAACAAAACTTTCAATTTAAAGGGAGTTTTGCAAGAGGAGTGGAACATATGTAACACTAGCACCGAAGTCACCAAGCAATTTATGTGATATTCAGTTGCAGCAGATTGATGATTTTGAGCTGTGCCTAGATGACCTATGGCAACAATGACATTTTGGCAAGTTTGGCAATGACAAAAAGGACTGCAAAACTATTTCCTGTGTCAGTAATAGACTCTTCCCTTAGTAACTTCCCACAACTGTTACTATGAGCAAAATTCAGCTTTGGTAGCTATGGTCTGAATGACAACATAAAGAAAAGTCAAAGCAGCTGCCAAGATTTTAAAACTAGACACTCATGCATAATATCACTGATGCCAGCTTTTGTAAAATACCTCAATCTCCATACTGGGGTAAAGGGATGGTGGAAATCGTTATTAAGCTAAAAATGTAAAGAGCAATATAAAAATTCCAAGTTACTAACTGGGAACAGGTTCTGAAAGGACAGGTCTAATCTTTGTTTTAAAAACAGGCTCATCACAATAACATTTAAGTCTGGCTTTTCAACTGTTTTAACTTCCTACCTCCCAGACATCCCAACATCTCCCTAACCCAGTAAAACTGGAGATTGTGCACAGAAAGGAAAACAGACTATTCTATTTTCATATCATATATATGCTGAGAGAAATATAAAATGGAAACACTCCACAGAAGCAAGAACATGTTCAAGTTACATGTCAGGAATCAATCTTACCAAAATTAAGGTGGCTCCTGGAGGCTTTCCAAATGCTCTCTCTCCTTCCGCTGCTTGCACAAGGAGTTTAAGCCATGTCTAAATTGTGAGATCCAAACACATGGGCTCAGGCACACATCCAGTCTGCATCCTGACTTTATTTTAAGATGACACCAATTTCCCATCAGGATGAAAACTAAGTACATGTGCACAATTCCTTTAGAGGGTGGTTCCAGTTGGGAAGGGTGATGAAGGCATCAGCCAAAGAACTGCAGTTCACTCCAACCAGGCTTTTGTAGCTGAATGTTTGAGACACATACACCAGGTGCCATGGAGAGCTGAGCTGCCTCGGGATTGTAGCCTTATGCACTTAGCTTGAAATACATTTGACCAAATATAAACAACCACATTTCACTGAGTCACTCTACTCCCCCTCTCTCTTTATAGTCACTGAAGAGAAATAGGCATTTGTGGGCTGTGATTCATCCTATCCCAAAGTAGCTATTTTAAGAGATTCCATCATATCCTAAAAGCATCTGTGTTTCTGTATTGGTTACCTGAGATGGTCATCCTTAGGCTTCTTTTATCATGTCCTTCATTAAACATGTAGGAGATGAAATCTTACTACAGAAGAAGCCTTATTATGAACATAAATATTTAGATATTTCAGTTACATACACTGGACAGCACTTTAGATTTTCACATTCAGTTCAAATAACTGAAGACATTAGCATAGAGCTAAAGGACACATGTATTTTGACAATGTACAGTTACAGCTTTGGTGTAAATCCTCAGCTTGCCATAAGCATGTTCCAGCTATGTTGCTATATAAGCTACATAAGCTTGTTCTCTAAGCTATGCTGAACATGTTCCAGGCTTTTTTTTTTTTTTCCCTCTGTCTGAATCTTTGCACTCACTCGTGCTTTCCTCCTCTGAACAACCGATGGACACCAAATTAACCTAAGAAGAGTTGAACTGGGATTCTCCTCTTGATTTTCTTTTTCGTTTTGGAGGGGGACATATCTGGGGAGAGGGAAGGTTGGTAAAAGAACTATTATGTTGCTGACTCTATAAGGCGGATACTATAAACTGGCAAAATAATAAGCTCAGTAAAATAAATTGGCAAACCACCTACATTGCCTTACTCTTAGAACACTGACTTATGCAAAAGTTTTTTCAGGAAAGTGATACTGTTTTTCTTCATGACAGCTGAATAAAA